GGGGGGGGCGGCCCCTTCTTCGGGACGCAGAAGCGATCTGGCGACAGGTAAGTCGCCAGGATCGCTTCTGTTGTAAAGCTGACAGTCGGCTCTACAAGTTTAAACAGAGTCCCAGCGGCAAAAGTCGCCGGGAGTCTGTTTAAACAGCCCCGATGCTGGCGACGTACACTGTACGTCGTCAGTCACGAAGGGGTTAATAACATGATTCAAGGATATGCCGCCATTATAAGTGCCAATCCAATTTCAGCAGTTTGCTGTGACAAGGCAGGTGACAAACCAATTTCTAGTTGCTGTGTATTACCTCAGGCTTGATCTCAGTAAAGTACACCTAAAGGCCTCTGTGTGGCAGTCTAATCAAGTCTCAAATGCAGTTACAATATATAACAGGAGCCTCATGATTTATATAAAATTTTAAAAAAAACTTTACCTCTTAAAAGTCAAGCAAATTCTGCTTCAGTTGTGTCTCACACACTCCCCCTCCCAGGCACTGCAGCCAAAAGTGGGAGGGTTTTTAGCAGCACACTTCTGTCAATCCAGAAAGCTGCTGCAATACTGTGATAGTGTGCGTTAATCGCACGCTATGGTGTGAGCGGGATCTTGGGCTTGTTAATATGATAGCCATAGCTCCCTACAACTGCATCTCATCCAACTGTCAGCCATAGTCTAGAGCAGGGGTGTCGAACTCAATTTAATTGTGGGCCGCATCAACATTATGGTTGCTCTCAAACGTATCTGTAAGACTATATAAATGTATCTAATCTTTCTCATAATTGCCTCTGCATTCGATTATCACTGGTTTTAGTAATAACTTAATACCTAGATCTGAAAGTAGAAGTCTAGGAAATGGCCTGGTGGGCTGGATTCGGGCCCCTGGACCTTGAGTTTGACACATGTGGTCTAGAGAGACAGCGCTGCTTGTAGCAGTGTTGTCACCACATCACAGGAAGCTGCATGAACTTCACTGGTGGGATGAACAGGTATATATTAGACTTTGCAGGGGGACCTAAGTGTTGCAGCACACTTTGTTTTAATTGGGAAGGCAATAGTTTTACTTTAAAGATTCTATTGTAGGCTCAGAAAAAGCTTATTATTGCAGTGGCTTATTATGCCATGCCAAGGTTAGATCTATTTGTATCTTAAGATTCTACCATTGGGAAGATACCACGATTGGCAGCAAATGTTTTACAATTTTGCTAAATGCTTTAAGCAGATGATAATTCTCCTTTTTAAGGGGATGAGTCCACCCATAGTTGAGATTTCAGATGAGTGTTGTATCTTGTGCTGCAATTGTAAGGGCTTTTGATAGCTTCTGTGTATGTTTGCGTTGCGTGTAGCTGTCATTAAAAAGGGATACACTCTCCTTGAAGTAGCAGCCAGAGTTCAAGGTTTATGCCATTAAAGTCTCCAAAGCTTATCACAAATCATTCAAGTGACTCCACTCACCATCATCTGCCAAAGCTGGCATATCTATTTTTATTCTTGGCGAGGAGAAGAAAACTTCCCTGTCTCCACCCACAGAAATGGCCAATACACATCACTAGTTGCCCAAGGATTCATGGCACAAGTAGTTTTTAGTTATACATACAACCGGTGCATTTAATATGCGGCACTTTGCGGGACCTGGCTTCCCTGTGTCAGTTCAGGTATACTAACTGCAGCTGATGTCAAAGGTATTCAAAACTTTGTTTTTCTGATGATTGGTTAGCAAAAAAGGGTTATGGACTCTGCTTCAAAAGAGGGAGGATTAGGTGCAATTATTTGTAGCTTTAACCTTTCCAGTGCACCTCCACTACTCCTTCCTTCAGCGTAAGGGCCCATTCACACCACAATCATTGGGACTGCTTTGACCGCTTTTTCCAGCATAGCCGCAATGCATAGGCAAGTCAATTTACCTTGTTTTAAATGGGCACAGTTTACACCACCGTTCTGCGGTGGCGAGGGCTGAAAAAAGTACGGCATGCTGTACTTTGTTTCAACGCAGCGTGGTGCAAAAACATTGCACTGGGCTGTGCTGATGGACCTAAAAGAAATGTAAATCACAATTTTTGGGATATATACACTATATTGGCAAAACAATTGGGATGTCTGCCTTTGCACGCACATTAACTTTAATGGCATCCCAGTCTTAGTCCGTAGGGTTCAATATTGAGTTGGCCCACCCTTTGCAGTTATAACAGCTTCAACTCTTCTGGGAAGGCATCCACAAGGTTTAGGAGTGTGTCTATGGGAATGTTGGACCATTTGTGAGGTCAGGTACTGATGTTGGACGAGAAGGCCGGGCTCGCAGTCTCCGCTCTAATTAATTCCAAAGGTGTTCTATCGGGTTGACGTCAGGACTCTGTGCAGGCCAGTCAAGTTCCCCCACTCCAAATTCGCTTAACCATGTCTTTATGGACCTTGCTTTGTGCACTGGTGCGCAGTCATGTTGGAACAGGAAGGGGCCATCCCCAAACTGTTCCCACAAAATTGGGAGCATGAAATTGTCCAAAATGTCTTGGTATGCTGATGCCTTAAGAGTTCCCTTCACTGGAACTAAGGGGCCAAGTCCAACCCCTGAAAAACAACCCCACACCATAATCCCCCCTCCATGAAACTTTACACTTGGCACAATGCAGTCAGGCAAGTGCCGTTCTCCTGGCAACTGCCAAACCCAGACACCTTCATCGGATTGCCAGACAGAGAAGCGTGATTCGTCACTCCAGCGAACACGTCTCCACTTCTCTAGAGTCCAGTGGCGGCGTGCTTTACACAACTGCATCTGACACCTTTGCATTGCACTAGGTGATGTAAGGCCACACGAAGTTTGGAGGTCTGTAGTTACTGACTCTGCAGTTGGCGACTTCTGCGCACTGTGCGCTCCAACACGCGCTGACCCCGCTCTGTCATTTTACATGGCCTACCAGTAATGGCTGCGCATGTTGCTGCTGTTCCCAGTTGCTTCCACTTTGTTATAATACCACTAACAGTTGACCGTGGAATATTTAGTAGCAAGGAAATTTCATGGATGGACTTATTGCACTGGTGGCAACCTATCACGGTACCACGTTTCAATTCACTGAGCTCCTGAGAGCGGCCCATTCTTTCACAAATGTTTGTAGAGCAGTCTGAATGCCTAGGTGCTTGATTTTATACACCTGTGGCCATGGAAGTGACTGGAACACCTGAATCCAATGATTTGGAGGGGTGTCCCAATACTTTTGGCAATATAGTTTGTGTAGATAAATAGATCAGTGCATTAGCATTGTGCTTGTCAACGCACACCAGCAGCCTTGCATTTATGGAAGCACCAAGTATTTTTCAGCTTTGGCAGCATAGGAGTGCTCTGTAGGTGAATATATTTGGGTCAGTACAGTGGGCACTAAAGAGACCCTGTCACTTTAGTCTAAATTTCTCAGGAGACCTTTCAGTGGACATCTAGAATAGGTGAAAACTGGAAAGGATTACATCTCCATCATTGCTTGATTTTTATGCTATTTTTAGGAAATGGAAATATTTGTAAACATTTATTTTGCTTTGTGCCCATGTGCTTCTCTCTCTTTCTATGAATGTTCTTTTCTTTTAGCACATTTGGCATACAAATGTTCTCTTTTGGAAGACAACATTGCATGTTTTCCTATCGCATACATTTCTTTGTTCGGTATTGATTAATCAGCTTCATCTCACAAAGAGATCAAGTGCCTAAATAGATGTATGCAAGGCCCTGGAAATATTAACTCTGATAATGTTTCTGGAAGCATTGCCGGCCACATACAATGAGCTTGTCGAGCATACAAGTACAAGGTCCCTCTGACACCAGAGGGCACAATAAACCTTCTCTGCTAATTAGGCCTGGAGTAGCACAGCAGTTTCAAAAATAAAAGGTGACATCGTAAATGTTCATTTTGTGTGTGTTTTTTTTTATTTTTATTGCACAGCTTCCAGATGGCAGGGTTATTAAAGTAGGTGGAGAGCGCTTTGAAGCACCAGAAGCTCTGTTCCAGCCTCATCTTATCAACGTAGAAGGCGTTGGCGTTGCTGAGTTGCTGTTCAACACCATCCATGCAGCTGACATTGATACTCGGTGAGTTTTATCTTTTTGTTCTTTCTTCACAGAAAGGTTAACACCACTGGCGCTGGAGTCGTGAATGTTCAGCCATAAGTAGTAGAGCACTTTTTTATCAACCACCCAACACTTTTTGGGGTTTACGTCATGATACAAACCCATATAATATGGAGGCATGTAAAGGTTTATTCATTTATATGCCAGAAGCAGAGAAGCCAGTTGAGATTCCATTCACATGTCAGTATGTACACCACAGCTGTATGCAAACAAGAGTTTGTAGATTTTTTGTAAGGCTGAACTCTAAATTACATCTGTGTGCCCCTCCCCAATATGTCAAGAAGAGTCTAATGATTCAGTCTAGGGCAGTGGTGGCGAACCTTGGCACTCCAGCTGTTCCAAAACTACAAATCCCAACATGCATCTGCCTCTGGGAGTTATGTCTGTGGCTGTCAGAGCCCTGCAATGCCTCATGGGACTTGTAGTTCCAAAACAGCTGGAGTGCCAAGGTTCGCTACCACTGGTCTAGGGCATTGTAATGGTGAGGAAGAATTGTCAGTCTTTGGGCCCATGGTAGCCAGCACACTTCTTTGCTCCTGCCCTAGAATATGCATGGCCCTTAACATTACCACATACAATGCAGGAACCTTGAGGGTTGTTGGTCTTGCAAAATCGGTTTTGAGTACAAGAACCAGCAAGGAGGAAGCCTGCTGGATTGAGGAATAAGGCAAGTAATCCTCTCTATTGCATGCCTTCTAGACTAAAGAGTGTTCAACCTTAAAGTGTACTTCCACTTTTGCAGTCAAATTTGAGAAAACTCCACTATAAGTTTCTAATCACACAGCATACCTAAAAAATCATTCTAAAAATATATTTCTTTGCACTTACGGGTGCGCCTACGTACGAAAACGTTGATTGCGCCACACATTTTGGGTATCGCCACGCACACTAGAGTGAGAGCAATAATTCTACGGCCAATATTTACGCGTATCTCTGAACTGATGACTTGTATGGGCTTTTAAAGTGTCATCTATGGACCTTTTGGGGTACTGGATTTTGTCGCTGTTTCACGAACACACTTCGTTTTTTACCTGGGCATGTTGGGTATCTATTTACTTGCTGTAACCTCATCTTTTATATTTTACAAACAAAATGGGTATTTTATTGGGTTTGATAAAGAGTTGCGGCAATATCCAGCAACATAAAAATTTGCCACAGCCACCATTTATTCTACAGGGTGTTGGCTTTCAGGACAAAATATGTTTTGGGGGTTTGGAGTAATTTTCATGTCTAAAATGTGGATTATAACGTTATTAAAATGAAAAAAAGCCCTTGGCAGCGAAAGGGATATTTGTGTATCACTCAGCTGTAGAGCTTCCTTCTGGAGGGTGACTGTTTGTTCCCCATGGTCCCTGTGTGTGTTGTAAAGTAGCCACCGCTCCAAGCTCACTCCCATGATGGGCTACAATCTCGTGTTTAGTTTACTAATTTGTATTGAGATTATAATTCATCACAGGAGTGAGCTTGGAGCGGTGGCTACTTTACAACACACACAGGGACCATGGAGAACAAAAGTAGCCACCCTCCAGAAGGAAGGACAGTGTCGGCACCAATTCAGAGATGATTTGGGGATCTACAGCCGAGTGAAACACAAATAAGATACATTTTTATGTTCGGTATAATATTTCTTTATTGTTTCTATATATAACAATACAGACATATAAACATCCTGTTAAGGACTCTCCCAGGGAAAAAATCCTATCAAAAACAGAAGAGAGATTTTTATGTCCTGGTTTGGTTCGTTTTGCCCCCCCTCCTTCAGTTTCTCACCTTTCCTCCCACCCCTACCTTTTGGATCTGTCCGCTGTCTCCTACCCCCCATAAAATGTGCGGTCTTTGCTCCCTTGATTATGAACATATTATATGACTTGATGTGGGTATGAGGAATCGGTTCAGATACCATACATGTTTTGTTTTTGGTATTCTAAAAGAAGCGACAGTCAAATATATACATTGTGCAATGCTATATTCTGTATGTAAACATTTAAATAAAGGTCACATATAAAAACAAGAGGGGGACAATCACACACATCTTTATATATTTCTGCAGCGCTGAGTACTGTTGGCGAGTGTCAATATGTCTCTGCCACAGAGATGAACTGCTCTCCCAATTGTGTGCATGCAAGCAAGCATGGGGGAGCCTTTTTTTTTTATATATATATACAGTACAGTATATATAATGAAAACCATGCTGGAACTAAGCCTATTTATAGGCCTGTGCTAGAGGTGTTGTCTGGCCAGATTTACAGGGTTATTCACAAAAGGGTGAAGAGTTTGGAGAATGCAGGAGAAGTGAACAATCTACGATAAAACAGCTGATTTGGAAAAATTCTCCAATTCAGCTCACTTTCCAGTTGTTATGTTGTTCTAGAGTGTTCACTTCTCCTGACTCCTCCAAACTCTTCACCCTTTTGTGAATAACCCTGGTTAGTCTTGATGCTGTCAGAAAGGTCTGGAAGTCTTGTTTCACAGACCAGCTGAGAACAGGAAAGAGTCTGCCCAAAGTTATATCAATGAAACATTTTCTCAGTTTGTTTTATCCCTCAGAATAAAGTGTTTGGACAAGATGTCCTGTTAATGAACTTTTGTGGCATCAGACCCTTTTCATATATTGGATTACTAGCACCATTGCTACACTTTTACATACAGTATATCCTTTGAACCACCGTAAACACCTTCCAGTCTTTCCTTCCGCCCCTTCCATTAGTCTGGGCTTGTATCAATATAGATAACGCTAATTTTGCATGGTTTCAATCTGGGTTATTGTTAATTACAGTTAATAGTATTTATAAAGCAACATAAGTGTCATTTTCAAATAAAATGGTGGCCTCTCTGGAGTAGCAAAGACCAGTTTGTATTTGTTAAATACCATGGCTTTTTTGTTTTTAATTTCTGTTACATCTTAAACTGTTGAATATTTTTTTGGACCTCTAACCAGTTCAGTATGAGTGTGAGGCACCGCTACATATCAGCACAGAGGTCCTGGATCACCCTGAAAATTTAGATGGCAGTGAAGCGGCGCAGCCTTCTCCAGGACCCACCTCACCCTTTGTAGACCCAGTTTGAAGTGTACTGTGGAGTTCTTTTATTCTGCCCCAATCGTAGAAAATCATCTCAGAGTCATAGCTTTCATTCCCTGACTTGCACAGTACTGTGGTGTATGTGATTTGTGTGCACATTGTGTTGTGGTCTGCTTTGCAATGGCCAGGTTACTTAGGATAGAGTTATCCAAGCCAAGGTGGCTTACACCTAATTTCCCTGGACATTTCTATGAGTCAGTCAAATTTGGTAATTGCCGATTTGATTAATTACCACTGCTTTTGGTATGCTAGTCCCTTTCAGAAGGGATTTTGTTTTCTGAGTGCTTTTTAAGCAACTTCAGTTTGCAATGCTGTGACAAAATGACGACACTGAGCTTGTCCGAACAAGCTCCACATCAATGTGATTGGGATGAAACGTGCCCTTTCACAGGGGCTGATGGGGATGGGCTACAGTCTAGTTTCAGATTATCTTGTAGCTTGGGTAACATCTTGGTTATCTTATTTTCAGGGCAGAGTTCTATAAGCACATTGTCCTGTCTGGAGGCTCCACAATGTATCCAGGTCTTCCATCTCGCCTGGAGAGAGAACTTAAACAACTGTACTTAGAGCGAGTCCTAAAAGGAGACGTTGAAAAACTATCGGTAAGAACTCCCATTTTTAGACTGCACTCCCTCATTATTGTGTTTGGTTATTCACAGTGCCCAATGCAATGAATCGCACATTACAGCTGACCTTATTGTTTTCTTTGTTGAGGGATGTTCATTTGTTGATCCAACACTCCTTGCTATGGGGTTACTGCTTTTTTTTTTTTTCACATTAGTAATGCAGTTTGGATTCCACACTAAAGAGACTCTGTGATTTAAAAAATAAAATTTAAAAAAACCTTCTCCGCTGCAAGTTCAGCATCACACAGTGATGTGTGAGCTCCAGACCTGACAGTGTTTCTGAAAGCCTACAGTGGCTATTGCAAGACTGGTTGTTTTCCCTGGGACCCATTAGTGATTCTGTGTCCTGCATTTGCAGCCCCAGCATTGCTGTGGGGAACCAGGCACCTGGCATACCCAGAAGTTATGCAACCTGAAATGTATTTTATAGGACAAATCTGTACAGTAGCTGCACGTTCAGAACATTACTTTCAGGGACCTTCACACCTTCTTAGAATGTTGTTTAAAGCAGATTAACTGTTGCCTGTTACAACAGAAGCTACCAATCAGTGCTTAACCTCTTGCCGTCCGCCCGTAGTAAAAAAAACGGACGGACGGCACTGCTGCATCTGCGGGTTGGCGTCTCCAGACGGCAATTTTTTTCTGCTCGCGCGCGCCCCCTAGCGGGCACCAACGGGCGGAAAAGACCCGACGATTAAACACACCCGTTACCGGGTGTTTCACATATAGGCGATCAGCGGGTCCATAGCCCGCCGATCGCCTATATGTGCTCGTTCGCGGCACCCCGTGACAGGATCAATAAGTGAGCGAGCGCCGGTATGTGTTCGCTCACTTCCCGATCTATTGAACCGATGTGTGACAGTTTCATTGTCACACGTCGGCTCGAACTATGAGGATGAGTAAAAATCACTCACGTCATAGTTCTCCTTTAAGGCTGCCATTGCAGGCTTCCAGACACCGTGCAAGGTCTGTAGTTGATACTGTGTGTGATGCGTTAGAGATGTGCACTGCTCCAATAATAGCTGGTCTGACCGTATCCTTGTAAAGGGGATGGCCTTTCCCTATTGATGCTTACAACAAAATATTTCCCATCATTGTGTTTTATAAAGTAAGCAAGACATGATGGAATGTTTCATTTAAAAGTAACCCTTAGACACACACAAGCTCTATTTAGATTGGTGCACAGAGAACACTGTCGACGTAACCTGAATGCCAACATGTGCATACCCTTAAAACACATCTCAGATAGTGTGCTGGGCCAGGGGCATCACAAAATATGTATTCCTTATGAATGAGCCAGTTTCATCTCACCAGGAGTTAAATGTGTATTTTTTTAAACCTTGTTTACATTGAAAACATGCTATGATTTCACTATTGCGTTGTGATACTGAGTCACATCACTGTTATTATGTATAAGCCTGGAATTTCTGGACTAGATTCATATTGGTTGTTTGCAAAAGAATCGTGCCTACCAACACAGCACCACACCCCATCTCTACACAAGCCCTTTTGTAGGATGGAAATGTGTTCATTCAGCATCTCACCACTAGATGGAGCACAACTTTCTGTGCATGGTGTGCTGTTTGCTTCGGTATGAAATCTTGTCTCCTGACAGATCATAATAATTTATAGATTTACAAAGCCTAGTTTCTAGTCCTTTTGTTGATAAGTCAGTTTTAAGTGGATTGGGATGGGCTTATCTCTGGTCCTCCTTTTGTTTTTGGAGGGGGGATTTATTCCAGTGGTGAGATTTGCACAACATAGTTTGCTTCTGTTCCTATCGAGTCCCACTCCCACATGGTACAACATGAATGTTCTCCTTCTTCTTGTTCCATTCTAGCTTGCAGTTAATAACTAGCCTGGCACAAACCCTGGTCCCATCTTCCTTTTGGAGCATGCTAGTAACACTATCAGGATCTTCAGAGTATGCCAACTCTAGATTGCCCTGTTCAGGCTGAAAAAGTCCCTCCTGTATATGTATAGCTTGGCGGTTTGATGGCTTTGTATTGAAAATCTGCAATTTGTGGTGTTACCTGGGTAGTAATAACCAGTTTACGGCTTGATTTCACTTGTAGCCTGGAATTCATTGTTAAAGTGACCCTGTCACTACAGTGTCAGAGGACAAAATAGCAATACCTGCAGAAAGAAGAGACCACATATTTACCTTTCCAGCAAACCAGTTCTAAAAACACTGATGCAAGTATTCAGAACTTCTTGTGTTAATTCCTGCTACCCGTGTCACATGCAGTGGTTCCCCCGGCCGTTTTGTACATCACTACAGGATATAGGAGCCCACTGGAGGAACCACTGCATGCCCAGGGAAAAGGTTATTCTCATCAGGCTTGGCATTTCCAGACATGCTACCCGAAGGGTAGGCACAGTGCCTCTTCTTTCTGCAGCTATTGCTCTTTGCACTTTAAGGTTCTTCTCCATTTATTAGGAAATTTATACTGATCATGCTGCTTCTTTTCATTGCAGAAATTCAAGATCCGCATAGAGGATCCTCCTCGTCGTAAGCACATGGTATTCTTAGGGGGAGCTGTTTTAGCAGACATCATGAAAGACAAAGACAACTTCTGGATGACCCGGCAGGAGTACCAGGAGAAGGGTGTGCGTGTGTTGGAGAAGCTCGGTGTGACTGTCCGATAAACTCCACTGCCAGTTCCCATTGCTTCTCTAAAGCTTTCCTTATTTCCTCTATTGCCAATCTCTGAACTCATTCAGCTACATGACTCGGGAAGGCCTGTCTGTGCCCTTCTGGGCCAGATTTTTTTATTTTTTTTTTAATTTTGTCCCGATTTCCTGGGGGGGGTGGAGCTTTGTTCAATGTTTAACGTGGTTAAATTTGACTTTCATTCGCCCATTTTCTTTACAAAGCTTCAGCTAAAGAACTATCTGCTCCATTCTCTGTTGCACAGTAGGCTTTTTCACATAGTATGCTGCTTGAAGGCTGCTGGCTTTATCTTCTGCTGTCTCTCTCTGGGTGGTTTGGCCTCCTTTCCATAAAACAGATTCTTCAAATAGAAGTACATCCTGCGGAAGGGTATCTTTGAAGTCCGAGCTGCAGCCCCCCCACTGACTTCCCATCTCTGCAACATAATAAAAGTTGTTTTTTTTTTTTTCTTGACATTTCTTCCAACTCCACTGAAAATCCTCATTTGCCAATCCACTTGCATCATTTGTTTTGTTTTTATCTTTTTATTTTTAAGTTTGGATATGTTGATGGTACATTTCCATGCGTTGTAGTGTATATTGGATAAAGGCCCCCCCTTTTTCCTCCTTTTACACTGTGGCCTAAGAAAAAGCACTTGTCCAGGCGATAAGGTCAGCTGCCAGTTTATTCCCAGAAACAACAAAGAGATTTAAAAGTTAAGAACATGTATGTGATAATTTGATAATTTCTAAATATAGAGAATTGTATCTGTAAAGATAAAAACTCCTGTTTGCTTGTCTTTATTTCCCTCTGAAATCTGTTCTATAGGGAGCTCAGTGACTCCAATGCCTACATGCCAGTGCCAATCAACTTTCTTTTGAATGAGGATGTTTCCAATAAGTAAAAGAATGTATTTGTTGTGTATGAGCAGTACCAGAGCACAGTGTTGGGTTGTTTTCTGTAGAATGTACATCATTCTGTCTGTTTTATCGTGTGCAGGTCTTCGTAGAGGAAGATGGGCTGTTTACAGAAAGTGTTTCTACATAGGTGTTGCAAAGTGATTCAATAGGTATTTTGTTGGTGGTTTGTGCTTTGCTGTTGTGTCTAATCTCATTCATTCAGCTATCGCACATTTTGTTTGTTTGCAATCTTGAGCACAAAAGACAAATACGGTCAAAGCCGAGCAATAAGATTAAAAGGGTTTTTGTGCGCCCAGCTGCAGTCTTGTCTTTCCAGCCAGGTTATCTTTCCTAATGGTTGCAGACTGGCCCTTGAGAATTGGATGGTTGGTTCAGTGGAGGAGATTCCTATTTAAGTTCCGTGATTGGCTTGCTGAACTGACGGGCAGCAAACTGCTATGACAGCCAGTCATAGGATAGTTTAGCACATTGCTGTCAAGTGAGAGCTTGCATATGTTTATTGAGAGAACCTCAGCATAGTGAAATCTTCAATGTGTGGGAGTAACACTTTATAGGGTCACTGTGCCCAAGCCTGCTATTTCAGTGTTAAATAAATGCAGCGGCTTTTTATGTCTGCATCTAAATTCCCATTCCCACCTGCTGTAAGCATTATAATGGGGTGCTTCCCGCTCCCTGCTATTCTTCTTTTTTTATTCTTCTGTATTAATCTGTGGAGAATCGAGTAGGACAAATGGGATTCCATGGCAGAGAGATGTGGAATCCATTGGGGGCGTCACATCACCGCACTCCTTGAGGTTTAAGATGGGGTAAGGGATTCAATTAGTGGTTCAAACAAATAGATTCCATCTATAGTGGGATTTAGGATGAGCACTTGGTGTTTCAAACTGCACGGAATCTAGCGAGGTGTTAGGAAGTTTATAGCACATGTCCTGTATAACTCTTTCTAGACATGCTACGCTGGTAGATGTTACTAGTATGTACCCAGGGAGCGACGTATCTGCTCTGATCTATCAAATATCACGTACACCCTTTCTAGCCTTGCTGTTAGCACCATGACGGCTGGAATGTTTTATTTACTAAACATGTGTAAGGAACGCATGGCTGGTATAAATATTTCTAGCGTTCCCACATATACATTAAGGTCTTTAAGACAACAGGGTCAACGATTTTTGCTTCTAGGTGTTTTTTCCTTTTTTTTTATTCCATCATTTCTATGTCATGACATTTTAAGGTAATTTTTAAACTAATTTGGAATAAATTGGTCATTCTACCTGAGCTCCTTGTCATCTTTCTAAGTCTGGAAACAAGTGTAGAAATTCACATTTGATGGTCCACACTTATTCCTACCTGGGATCCTCTTGCTGACATATGTCTCCCAATAAAGGCTTTTGATTTAATATTTCTGCACGGAAGGGTCCATTGCTGCTGTTTTTCTTACAATGCTGGTTTCCTGGCTTTCTTTGGCTTCAGTACTTTGGATTACTTGCCCAGAACTAGCAAGGAGCCATTAGTCATTGTAGAGTCAGAATTACAGTTATGCATACTAAATCAGAGGGTTCGCATGACGGTCTAAAGCTGGCTATACAGAGTCCTGCCAAAAATCGAGCAGTGTGTGGTGGCCCTGTTGGCACCTTTTGAAAAAATGTTGTTTAAATTTGTTGGCTGTACAGTGCCTGCAGCTGATTGGTATATTCTGACAGGGCTGGATGATGGCTGCTGGGCTACAACAGCTAGCAGGGAAGATTCCCCCATCCACGCTGCTTAGTGTGCGGAGTGTATGGCCAGCTTTACAACCAGCATTTTCAGAAGGACACATTGGCAGTGAAGTATATCTAGCACTGATTTTTCACAAATGATGGCTAGCCAGGCAGGGAGTGTTCAAAGGGTCCATCAGGTCTCCGTTGTATGCAACTAGTACAATACTGGTCACTACAGCTCATGCTGTGCTTGTTAATGACAGAACATCACACTCCATATATCATATCTGGTTGCTTGTAATGGTAACCATGCAGCAGACTCCCGAGAACAAGTCTCAATCCTGTCTTCTTCCATACTGGTGGGTTACTATTGCAGAACATGCAGTGCCAGCGTTAGGGGGCAGAACAATGATGGGAACACATAATAAATGGAGCAGTCTGCATGTATGAATCCTAATCACGGGGTACAAATTACACAAGTTCAGCCACAAAGACTTTCCTACAGCTAATCCTTCATATGAATCCTCCATCATCCTTTCCTTACAGAGTACTGTCCTTGTGGCCTTTTCATACATATTACTGGAAGGGAGTGTAGGGAGGTAAATGATGGTTGAGAATGAACTATAGCGGTCAGGATGGGAAATGGCCGTCCCTACTACTGCTGATCTCTGAAAGTAACCAGATACTAACAAGGGCAATTGTATTTCATGTTTCTCTAGAAAACAACAACTTTGTTTCGGGAAGGGTTAGGACTCCTAAAGGGTTAGTCCATCTTTTCACAAAAAATGAAAAGGTGAACTCCTAAAAATGAGAATCTTATTTCTTCTGGAATGAAAGAAGACTCAGATTCTCATTGATCAGCACAGTCACATGGCCACACTCATCAATCTCTTCTCTCTATTACAATCAATATGTTGTATCCACCAGGGCTGTGTAGTAAAGTTTTCATTTTCCCAGACTGCTATATGGGCTGGTGGGGGTCATCGATACAGATAAGTGGGGAGAGGACTAAACTAAAGAGGGGATAAGGAGGGTGTTGGGGGTGGGTAAGGTTACCTTTTTTTTTTTTTCCTTTTTTTGTGAAAGGTGAACTAACCCATTATGTTTTTATTGGGGGGAGAAGCACCCCATTTGTCTCTCTATTGTCAACAGAACAAAAAGTGATCGGAAACCCAAAATGTTGTAGTCCCAGAACCCGAAGTGAGAGGAAATCTTAATCTTACAGTGGGGACTGTATTGTGTACTCTGTGAAAGCTGTTTAGAAGGGAAGGGTCCTCTTTGGGCCACAGGCAAAAAAAAAGTGGGGTGGGGGGTTCTAATAATTTCCTAAAACTAAACATGTTTTGTTAAATCTACATTTCAAGGATTGTGGCATAGCAGTAAGTCCATGAATCCTCATTCCTTATATTAAAACACAATTGCCAAGTGGCTCTATGACCAGGACTTGCGTAGAGTACAATGAGGGACCTCCAAAGGGCAGCGCATAGTGTTTGTATGTTCCTCACTTTGAACTATTCGATCAATGTAGAGGCATTATATATAAATAATCTGTACACCCAATAGTAGAGTTAGCAGAGTGTCTCTTGCTGCCTTCCTCTTTGGACCTTTTTGTGGTCAGATCTCACTGCTGTATTTTCTAGTTTTAGTTCCGACTCCTGTCTCTCACTTCTGCTGCTTTGATGTTCATACTGCATCTTCTATAATAAATGAAGAATCCACGTGTAAAGTGAGACTCCTCTTATAATTGCAGCGAGAGGTGGGCAAATCTGAGAGCCTGATGTACAGATCTTACCACCAGAGACTGAGAGACACAAGAACCTGCTTGAGTTTTGCATTGACTGACCCAATGAAGCCTGCAATATTGGTCAAAGGAGAGGCTCCCCTCCATGATGCAATGGATGATGCCATTTGTCAGCCCTCAAAAATGGTGATCGTTCTTTCAGTGAGCAAATTTGTGCAGCATTGGCCATCAGTCAGTGGCAAAAGCAAACATTCAGTGGGTGCCATTGTGAGATTCCATTTAAATGGTAATGGCATACTCTGCAGTATGTCCCCCTCTAGTAGACCCAGAACACTCTGCTCCTGATTATCTCTCGGTCGCTTTAAAGAGTGGGTCATGGTGGAACATCTGAAATGGTCCATAACACAGCTTGCTACTTGTGGTCTCTGCGGTTATAATATCTTAAGTCTGCTGTATGCTCACCCCTAGGCCACAATAGGCCAAAAAGTGCATGATAGCCAGCACAAAATCCTTAAGATGCCCATACACATCAATTATCGTTCGGAAATCGTCCACGAATGGTCTTTCGAACGGTAATCGATAAGTTAATGGGAACCCATCAATTTATTTTACCGTACTCCTGGCCGAAATCTCTCGAAGGGTGAGGCTGGAAAACTTTTTTTTTCGAATCGTACGGAAAACAAAATTGAAGCAAGAACACTGCACAGGCACAAACGAAAATCCGTTATGTCGATAACCGCAATACGAACTCAACGAATTTTGGCGATCGAAACGACATCGGTCTGTGCTTGATGGGCTATTTGAGCTAGAATAGAACAAGGGTTCTTGGCAGCAATGGAAATTCCCAAATGAAAAATCTATAGGTGTGAGGCCAGCTTTAGAGCCTGTTCACATGAGTTCAGGTCCTGATCAGGTGCGGATCTGCAGACGCGGTGCTATGTGTTTTTTGCCCGTTTTTTTTTTGCTGGAGTGGGGCTGTCAGTATGTTAACTGCAGTGCGTTTTGCGTTTCCGGACCGTTTCCTGACCATACAAAATGTGACATGCAGTATTTTTCTGTCGTAACCTGAACGGACTGCTCACGTGAGAACTGTAGCCCATAAAACCCATATGGATACATTGGGATGCATTTTTAGTGCAGGAGCATACGGATCAGGTCAGCACAGAAAACGGACGCCGTGTGAACAGGCCCTTAAGCTGGGTGTCTGCTTCATGTAAGGAGAAAACCATGTACAGGCAGTCCCCGACTTACGGACAACCCGTACTTACGAACGAGGTGCAGCCGCCTTCTTAATTATATTATAATCTTCTGAACAAGGGGAACAGACAGCAAAACAAACGTGACCCTTCCCTATGCTATCCAAAACTCAAAAATGTTTTTGTGGCTGGAGTTACACTTAAAAAAAAAAAGTACCTGTTCCGACTT